CCATGTAGAGAGGGGCAGAGAAAAGTGGTTGTCCAAGAACTGCATGACCGGTGATGTATTTCTGATACCCTTGCTCCTGTACACTAATCCGAAATTCAACATGACTCCTATCTTTGTCATGGAATTTTACAAATGATAGCATGGAATTTGGCCGTTTAATGAAAAAGTCTCTTGGTGTTGACGGTAGAGGCGTGGCGGTCTGAGGTTCTTTCCATTCCAACCAATGACGTGCTTTCTCAAATTGGTAAGGAGGCAAATCAATTATTTTGTAGCTATCTTTCTCCCAGCGATGATGAAGCCAAAAATGGACTTTACAACCAGCTTTCCAAAGTTCAAGTGTCGTATTTGTCAAATGGTCCAAGACTCTTTCGTAGTCTAGTTTGATATCCAAGAACTGGTGCAACTGAACAGTAGATGTTCCCGACTTGAGCGCTCTCCTAGCCATCTTCGTGATGGCTGACCCAGAACCAACATCTAACCATGTGCAGGGACCAAATTTTTGATTGATTCGTTTGACTGCGTTGCCAAAGTAGACTCCTGTTCTCGTATGTTCAACGATCGATTCGGGACTAGGAGATAACCATGCTTCATTTTCAGAGCATGTTTCGACGTGAATCTTGGGTTCGCTGTATTTTAAACCTTTCAAAATTTGCATATACTTGGGTAGAAGAACATTTGTCATTGAGGAGTGGTAACCATGGGTAACATCCAATTTCCTTGCTTTGAGTGACAAAAACTCCACTGCGTTATTCTTAAGGATTTCTTCGACCTTCGCAATAGCGAGATGGGTGCCGACCAATACGAAGCTTGTTGGCCCGTTGTAACACGCAACTTCGACTTCAAATGCGGGCCCTTCCTTTCTCGTCAAGTCAATAAGCTTATCCAGGGTATCTTGATGTGTTTCTACAGCCAGCATAGAACCATTATCATGGCCCCACAACTTCTCAACCAATTCAGCACGACCAACAACAAGCTTCAATCCATCCTCCAGGGAAAGAGATCCTGCAACCATCAACGCTGTCAATTGTCCAAAACTATGGCCTATCAGCGAACTAACTTGGATACCGGAATCTAGCCATGTTTTAGCAGCGCTATATTGCAGGACGAAGAGTTTAGAGTGAAGATTGACTGTGCTGGGATCAGGAATAGAGTCGAAGATGCTAGGGAATATGGACTTCTTTCCTAACGACCGCAGAACCTCATCGCATTGATCAACATGACGACGGAAGAGTGTCGATTGAATGTATAGATTCCGATCCACGGAAGCTGTAGCACTTGTTTGTCCACCGAAGCACAAGATTACCGGCTTAGCTTTCTGAGGAACGATGAAGCAGCCTTCCGCTTTTTTTATCAGTGCGTTGTCTAATTCGCTAAGATCTGAGACTGACGCCGTGAAAACGTTGGAGAAATTCCAGTTCTGAGTTTCTGCTAGGCCATAAGAGAGATCACGCAAAGTAACAGAGTTCTGACAGAGTTGGGAAACTTGTAATCTCAGACGATCGCAATAGGCCGCCAAACTTCCCGGAGAATTTGCAGATACCCTGATAGGGTATTTAGCTGTCGTAGGCGAATTCTCCGGCTCGTTGGGAAGCCGAGGCTTGCACGCTTGAGACGGTGGCTCGACCACGACTATAGATGCATTGCTCCCAGATGCACCGTAGTTGTTGATGCTGGCGATATAGAGATCAGCTTCCCATGGTGTTGTCTGGAGCGGGATTTTCATTTTGTCCGGTTCCAAGGCTCTTATCTTGGGGTTTAAAGACAAATGGTTCGCTTGTTTTGGTATCGATTTGTGCTTCATCATTAAAAGGACCTTAATCAATGATGCAACACCCGAGGCACCTTCCAGATGACCAATATTGCCTTTCACCGATGCTACGTGTAATGGCATCGATCGGTGTGCCCCGCCGAATACTTTGCGGATTGCATTTATTTCTATTGGGTCTCTGCTTCGAGTCAGCTCCTGAAACATCAAGTCTGGCAATATTGCAGACGATATAGACTTCCAAATCAATTGATGAAAAAGGGAAAAACCTACCCGACAGGTGTTCCTGTCCCATGAGCTTCGACATATGTGAATTTCGATGGACTCGAGCCTGCAAGTGCCGCCACCTTTTCGAACAACACTGACTGAGATTCCAAATTTGGCACTGTGATACTCGTTGAATTCATACTCTGGTTAACAGCAGATCCAGTAATGACTCCTAATATAGGGTCGCCATCTGCAATCGCATTCTCCAATCGTTTCAACACAACTATTCCCACACCCTCTCCTCTACAATATCCATCGGCTCCCGCATCGAATGGCTTTGTAGCGCCAGTCGGACTCAAAAATGACGCGGCCCCCAGATTTTCGTAGAAATATGGACTAGTGTATAGGGAAACACCTCCTGCCAGAGCCGCTGAACAGTCTCCGGCTTGCAAAGATTTACATGCGGCGTCAATTGCAACTGCTGAAGAAGAGCAAGCTGTGTCGTAGATCACTGAAGGCCCTGTGAAACCAAAGAAATGACTGACTTTTCCACTGAGAAATGCTCGTAGACTGCCTAAAGATGAGAATGCATTTGGTGGATGGGAAGCAATATTATCGTTATAATCGGAGCCGCAAACTCCGAAAAAACATCCAACATCGTTTTGCTCATTGCCTCCTTTGCTTTTAGACATTGATTGCCGGCCAAAATATCCACTGGATGACAGAGCATTATAAGAACATTCAAGTAAGAATCTTTGTTGTGGATCTATGGACGCCGCTTCTCGAGGAGATTTTTGGAAAAACCTGTGATCAAATGCATCAATATCATCCACAAAATTGCCATAGAATGGCTGTTTCGAAGACCTCCTCAGACCGTCGATAGGGAATCTGCCATCTGGTATCGTTCGAAGCAATGACTTGCCTTCAGTCAAGATCTGCCAGAATTCTTCTGGAGAATTCGCGCTAGGAAATTTGCATGAATACCCTACCACTGCAATTGAGTGTTTGGGATAGACTTGTTCTTTCGGCGAAGGAGATTGCAAAATATCTTTCTGTAGAGGAGGAGCAATGGCTTGGGGTTCATGATTAGGCAGGAACTTGCTAAGCTTTACGACTTTGAGATCAAATTCACGAACAAGTCGGCTTGGAATGCAATCGACAAACCCTACTTGAAGTACATGTCTCTTCTGACTTGCATCCAATTGAGCAACTGTGTTTGAAATGGTCGCATGCCATTTCGATTGCCTGGAAAGCAATGAAACCAGCGCTATTTCATGAAGTGATCCTTCATGTATTTCTTGTCCATCCTCACCTGTTCTCAAAACGGTCCGAAGACTTTCTGCTTGGGGAAACTGTAAACATCCCGTTGATGCACATAGTTGAATGAGTTTCTGACAGACATTCGTCTGAACAGATGCATGGAAACGACCGAAGATAACCAATGGTATCACACTATACCCTTGATCCAGTAAGGCTTTTGATATAGAATCACGAAGTTTCTGGGGAAGTGTTATCGTGATTTTGGTTTGATCAGAGATAACAGAAACATAAGCCTGAGCACAGCCACCAGAAATTAGCATACAACCTTGACCTCGGGACCCCAAGAATTCACGGGAAGAATTTAACGGCACAGATGTGGCTTTTCGACACTCGCCACATGATTGTGCACTAGAAAGACGACTTACTTCTGGAAAATCCTTCAAGAACTCGTAAACATCGCAAACGGGTTTATTCCTCTCACTCCAAGAGACCATAACAGCCGTTGTCAGATTCTCTCCTGCATCCGACTGATCTAGATCAACATAAGCGCCTATGCAAAGAGCAAGTCGCAAGGCATTTGAGCAAAGTTTGACCAAAGTGTCCTCATCCGAAGCACAAGTCACAGCGGCTGCGGTCAGAAACCCTATACAGAACCCCTGGGCCCCAATCGGAGTTGCAGATGCAAGGAATTTATCGTATGCGCGAACAGGCCCATAGTGGGTCTCGAGATAGTTGAAAAACTGCACAACGTGGATGATGACTGTGAGGGGCGTGCAAACCATGTTCGGTAAATCCCGCTTCATTGGCCCTGGTGCTAATGAACCGGTTTCCAGCCATTGAATCAGGAAGGTGCAGTATTCTCCTGCAGGTAGTTTCTGCAAAGAAGGATCATGAGCCAGTAGTGTTGGCAAGAAGTCGGAAAGCCCAGTAATGGCTTTATGGAATGGCCTGAGGTGTTTGTTAAAAACTAAAGAGTTTCTAACGGCGGAGAGATGGGCCGCATCAAAGGAATTTGTCTGTGGTCCAAAGACCAGCGTCGAATGTTGAAGATTCATGCTCACTAGTGGTATTGTATTGTTGAAAACAATTTGGTGATGGTGTAACACCGTGATCAATAATCGAGTAAGAAGGTCTTAGATATAGCTTGTCATTGACCCCTCAAGAATCCAGTCAGTGATGGGTATAGTCTGAGGTGATTAACAGTGTTAATCTGTCAGTTCGTGGCAATTGTTCAGTCCAGGTAAGGCTATAAGTGCAATCTGCCAAGACCTAGCAGACTCTCCCTATTCACTATGTCGACCGGTGGTAGGATCAGATGTTCCTGTTGCAAGGAAAGAAAGATTCAAACTACGAAAATACCTCATGGAACATTTGACATCCTATATGTATTCTCACCCACCTATCTAGTATATGGCCTCATAAACTTTGACAAATTCATCACAATAGATTACGGGGCATAGTACTCGGGGTTTCTTCCAGGGGGAAATGTCTTCTTTCTTCCTAGCTAAATACTCCGCTCCCTTAGTGTATCTTACTAGAGCTGATCTCCTCAACGACAGAGCGGGGTTGGTGTATTTTATGTACTCCGTACTCGTTTGCTTGGAAAAATCCCGGATTCCCGAGGCAAAATTAAACCAATGTACGGGTAAAGCAATTACCAATTGGGGTCGCAGATTCTGTAGTTCTTTTACTCGATCATATACATTAGGGTATCATTGCTTCTGCGGTTCTCATAACTACAGATCATACATTCAAGGGGTAACCGTTCTCTTCCATCGCTAAAATACATATAAAATCATCGATCACCTGCCCATTCCTACGGAATGAGGCCTTTCCCTACCTCCTATCGATAGAGAGTCGCTGTGTTCCTGTGCTGTCGACGCCCTCTGGCCTTCCAAGTCTACTTCTCTCCCAGGTGATGGTGAAGCTAATGGCTTCATGTCGTAGGTCACTCCGTCATATTTATGGGCTGTGGCTTTAGATCTCCCACTACTAAACTGTATATACGACGAACTCGATGTCTTTGTCTGGCCGATCTTCTTTGAGATGTAACGATCCCAAAGAAATTTCAGCGGTGGTATACTTCCACAAACTATCAGGATAAATGCCTCAGCGCCACTCCAAACGAACAAATAGTACGTTGCCCCTATATCAATGTTAGAATTCTCTCCTTTGCGCTTGTTTGTAGTCTGGAAGCCTTACAGGTAATATCTGCTCGAGCACTGAGTTCTGTCAAATAAGATATCTCGATTGATCCGCAAATCGCAGCTCTGTGATTAATGTAGTTAGCTGGACTCCCCGAATGAAGCGAGGGCCGTAGCAGGACACATATATCATACCTCCTCCCAAGTGTGCACAGATTTCAATCTTTTCCCTCAAGCTCATTCTAAACTCCCCAAAGAACAATATGGGAGAAGTTGGGAGAAGAGCATCGATGAAAATAAGCCAGGTAGCATAGAATATCGCGAAACCCGATTGAACTTTTGGTTCCTAGCAGGTATGTGGGATGGTTGGATCCCAAAGCGCCTTTGCAGGTGTATATTAAACGTATGTCATAAGAATGTCGAAAACAAAAACGAGGCAAGAGGTGATGCAAAACCAAAGGAGTGGTTTTGGCCATTTCGGATTGGGCGAAAGAAGTCTCATTATCAGGAAAGCGACTGATACTTTTGCCAGGCAGATTGCCATAATAAGAAAGAGCTGCAGTAACCAGGTCATTTTGATCGCGAATTCTTGCTCTGCGAGAGGAATGTAATACAGATGCCTATCGCCACCATGTAGAGCCTGGACGGTGACAAACCCACAGAAAACGAGGGAAGCTAATAGAATCATAGTTAACAATTGCCATGATTGATTCGGTACCAATACCAATACATACTTGATCAAAGTACAAAGCATAATCCAATCATCTTTCCCGAGCGCTTTGATCGTAATTCTGACCAAAAACCTCAGAACGACCACAACGCAAGAGATAGCAGCTTGTGCCCACATAACTGCTATGATAGTTGGCCCCCTATCGATATCTCCTCCAACTGGGCCTCCATTGTCGAGTTAGCTGTCTTGGTTCCGTGAGTGCCAAGTTGCTGGAAAGTAGATACAAACTTTCCCCTAAAATCGGATCAGTCAAACAAGTCAATGATCACAATTTGTGGAAATCAATATCTATCCATGTGATGTGTAAGCATGGCTGGTGTGATAGTGTATGAGGATAGCACAAATTGAGGAAATTGTACTGTTCCTTCGATCCTCTTTCACAAAACTTCAGCACATCAGCAAAACAAAACATAAAACTTGTGCGTGTATCGAATATGGGAAAATCGAGCCTAGAGATGTGATGGTTGCCATGCCGTGGCGAGCTATCCAGGTGACCCAATGTAGTATCCATTTACGAAGGAAGATGGGGTGAGGAGATCTGACAATTAGGCTCGGGTTACAATAGTGGCACAGTCTATGCGCCACTCGCTCGACATAGACAACAACTGCGTCTATTGTTACGAGTACCCGGTCAGTCTATCAAGAATGGCTGTACAACTCCGCGGCTAGAGTGATACCTGCAGAGAATAGTATGCTGCATAAGAGATATATTATCTGGGCTCATCCGTGCTGAGGATATCGCCATTGAGGACATTTCCTAGTGATGAATAGGCGTGGCTTTGAGAAGGGGCTGTCAGCGTCGACGCTTGTCTTGTCTATTCGGTACGGAATACGAGATTGCTAAACATTGCTAATCCGAACCAATACCTCGCTCCCAAACCGTTGGAAATTTATTTAGTATATATATATCTGGATCTCGAGGACTGTATCAAAGTTGTCATTGACGTTCTGAATATCTTCTTTTCACATACATCTGTTGTTCCTCTAGAAACTGAACAATACCGTGACATTCCTTTTTGAAGTCAGAATATCAAGATAGGTTCCGTTGGAGATCTCGAACTTGCGCTTTCCAGAATCACGGAGGCGGCTAAAGTTGTTGATGAGCATACTCGCAAGAACCTTATCAATCAACTTCGAAAGATGGCTGCGTCTCTTAAGACTTCTGGTGAAACCATCCAGCGTCTTCTCTACCTCGTACATGTTCATGCTTGACGTAGGATACTCACATAGCCACTTACTGATGTTTCCTTCACAAGGCAATTCAACCAGCACTTTGCCATGCTGGTAATGATCTCGATATCTTCAAGATTTTAGCCAAAAACGACGGTCCCATGACTACGATAGAATTAGCAGAGAAAACCAAATGTGACACTCTACTTTTAAGTATGTTTCTACTCATCGAAAATCTTTACCAGTCTCTCATTATTGTAGGTCGAATTTTGAGGTTCTTGGCATCAACGGATATCGTGACAGAAGTCAGAGAAGAGTCATTTATCGCAGACAAAATCACAGAGGAACTTGCAAAACCTGGCCTCAAAGCTGGAATGAACCACACGCAAGTACATCATCGTAATAGAAGATACATACATTAAGATAATCCGCCTCTAGCTTCGATAGTGTTGGTCCAGCATCTCAAGTCCTCCCAGAGTTCTTCAATGCCACTGGGTACAAGGACCCTGCTGATGCGTCACACTCACCATTTCATATGGGACACCGTACAGATCTTCCATTATTCGAATGGTTTCAGCAAAATTCAGAGAAACTCGGGTTCTTATTGGAGTGGATGACTGCTCAACGAGCAGGAATGGATTTCTGGTTGGACTTGTTTCCCTTCGAGGCATATGTCAAGGACCTTGACCCAGCCCAAATTAAGTTTGATGACGTCGGTGGTGGAATTGGTCACAAATGCTTAGAACTCAAGACTAGACTTCCTGCCCTTAAAGGCGAGGTTATTCTTGAGGATCTTTCAATAACTTTGAAGCACGCTTTATCCATCGATGGCGGCAAAGCTTTACCACAAGATTTCTTCACACCCCAACAAATCAAGAGTACGTAATTTAATAAATCAAGAATATCATTGTTCGTACCAGGCTGACTCCGAAGTTAGATGCCAGATTTTACTACATGCGTAACGTAAGTGATAGTCTCCATGCAGAGTACGCTGGGATAAGATGACTGACCTCTTGTAATGTAGATTTTGCATGACTGGCCAGATGACAAGTACAAGATCATTTTGGACCATCTTCGTGAGGCAATAGGCTCAGAATCTGCCAGCTTGATTGATGAGATGGTTCTTCCCAACAGCGGCACCAATTTCCAGGCCATGGATATTGATTTCACTATCATGGCAGCTTTGTCGGCAATGGAGCGTACTCAAAGTCAATGGGAGAAGGGTTTAGACTCAGCCGGTCTTAAATATTGAAGACCCATACCTATACCGAGTCATTAAGAGACAGTGTCCAAGTTGTTGTGGCCAAATAGATGATTCGGATGATTTCTGGATGCAATAGGACCCTTAAGGTAGACAATGTTACCCTAGTTGACTATAGAAGTAAATAGCTCTGTAGACCAATCAAGATCGAATAATTATATAAGCATTTGAATGAATATCTCTATAGACTATTCAAAATTACTTGTTGTTGGCCTTGGTCGAGATGTGGTGGCCAGATACACTGCCTACCATCAAAAGAGACATAACATTTTAATAAGTATAGATACCATTCTGTGGGTTATTCATGTTCACCGTCGCACGGATATGCAGTTACCATCCTCTATTATACCATTGTTGTTTCACCATCACTATTATGATCTATATTCCACAGTGAAACCCTCATCCATACACTTCGATTCACTGAAGACCTAATATTTGGTTCATCTTCCAGTTGGTACTTTGCTGCGTCTGAATAAGATATAAATATGGGCTTCTTGAAATGATGTTACATCAACTGAATGCGTCGCATGGCTGCATTTCTGTACTTCTATCCATCTGTTGTGATGGAAACGCGAGGAATGCGGGGTTATAACAATAGAAAATCTCCTGGGCATGTTCTTTATCCTCACTTATCTGCTCGAAATTTGTCACCCAAGAACCATCACACTGCCAGCATTCACTGAAACAGTGATCAAACAAGTCATGAGTCGACGACCTATAAGAGATGCCGTTAGTGGAATCATTGGATTCGGCACTGATGCATACGCCTCTTTCAAAGAAGGGAAAATCAATTCAAATGAGAGCGCAGAAAAGAATGTCCAAAAAGCGAAAACTCCAGAGGCTTCAGAATCGGCGACTGTTGAAAGTGATAGCTTTACAACTGTCTTCGATGCTCATGGATATGAAAGTTACGATGAAGACGACGAAGGAGACTGGATAAGAGACGATACACAAGCCCAACTGTCTCCATATGATCAGGAAATAGTAGATGAACCCGAGAGTGTTAAGCAAATACTTGGAGACTTTGGAAAGCAGCACCCTGGCATATCATCGTCAACTCGGCCAAACATAAAGCAAGGATTACCTGTTCCAATAATTATACCTGAGCGAAGACCAGGATCTAAACATCGAGGATTCGTCAGAGCTTATGCACCAGTTTTGATGGATTGTGGTATAGATCAAGATACATTCATGGATTTTCTAGTAGGATTTGAAGCTTCTATCAAGGTAAAACCTATCTAGGTAGCTGAAAGCAGCGCGATCAATGCAATAAGTGCTAATGAATTGCTCAGGCATCTCCATACTTCCATGTGATAAATCTGGCTGTGGCTGCGAGTGTGATGGCTGAAGGACTAGCTGTAGCACCAAGTATTATCGTACACGCTGCTGCATTCGCAGTGCACACCAGCATTGAGTTTGGTCGAAGGGCGTATATGTCCAAAGAGTACGTACCTTCAGATTCATTGATTGTCAAGCTGGGAGGTATGAATCTAATTCTACTCCCTAGACAGAACAAATATCTCGTGGGAATGAATGAGAAATTGTTCAAACCACACAGACTTTACGCTTTGCTTCTGACCTGGAAATCAAATGACTCTACGGCTTCTCAACCACTTGTCTCTACTGTTGATATGAACACTAAGCTAGTCACATCTGTCGCCTCACGTGAAGTAAAAGGTCGCAGTGATTTCCATTCTACCTCTGGTAAAACAATTGGACAGTCTCAGATGCCGGAAAGTGCAGAATTAATATTTCCATTATTGGAGACAGCTACCGATGAACAAAAAGTAAATGCAATGAAAAAAGCAGGAGTATGGTTTGGGGAGTGGAGAGACAAGAGGAGCACGGCTAAATTTGTACGTTTTTGCGCCTCTTCGATCTTAGACTTAACGTCTATTATAATAATATAAGTAATGACAATTTGAGTTATGCAACAGGCAACCGAAAATCCTTCAACGACATTGGCGGCAAACGCTGGTGAACAACAAGTGCCTTCATCACGCTGGGCAGATGCTTCTCACCCTGTAAATCAAGGTGGCATCATTGGAGTGTTATCTGGTGGTCACCTCGGGCGAACTGCCAGGAAAGAGAGAAGAAGAGAGAGAAAAGGCTTGCCCAAGGATGAAAATCCCAAGCCTCAGAGAACTGGTATATTGAGGACTGCGAAGAGAAAGCTTCATGAGGTTAGTCTCGCCCAATTTTCGAAGAAATAACATTGTACTCACGTATTAATAGGATGTGCTGTATCTCATGATCGTCAATATGCCTTCCGATGAGGAAATGAAGATTGTAACCAGCATGGCGAAGGATAAGAAAGCAGAAGCTTCATAACAATGTCTTCTCAGTGAAGAATTTCCTCTTTTCAGAAATTGTTGTACGTACCTTGGCTTATTGTTTTACCAATGCTATGGGTATATTAGTATCTAGTGCATTTACCCAGTCCTCAATTTCCTTTACACAGCTTTCAATACTACAAAATTTGCACGCAAATTCAAGCTCTCTCCTGATTTTTCCTCGCTTAATCTCTTCTTTCCAAGCAACTACCCTCTTAGCCATCTCTTCATCGTAGAGACGCCTTAATCTTACCACTTCAACTCTTTCCTCTACGTTTTCGTGAATGCTCTCTTGACATTCTGTACTTGATTGTTGTGTATGTTCAACACTCAAAAATTGTGGATATTGAGTCGCTTTCCAGGTCGGCATGGCCGTCGCGTTTTCCCACCCTAAAATGCCTGCTATGTTTCCCATGTCGTCAATCAAAATATTTCTCATCGATAAATCGTCATGGACAAGGACCGTGGACACCCTTATTTGGGGGAATGTTTGAAAAATCTTAGCATGTACTTTTTGAACGAGCTTCTGAAGATTTTGTGCTTCGATCATTTCTTCTTCATCAGTTGAGGTTCGTAATGTAGACGACAACTCCTTCCATATGGGCACCAACAGAGCTTCTAAATAGGAGCTGCTATCCGGGAAAGAACAGTATGAATTCCGATCACTAATCGCAGCAATGGAGATTAAGCGACCAACAAAGGGTCGGAATTCTCTCGATAATTGATGCAAAGTACTGAAATCACCGTATCTATAGTCTGTGATGTAATCGTCCGCATCTTGAGCGTCAAAAAGGTTTCCAATGTCGTCAAAACTTGTTGCATATAGTTTAGTTTGATATTTCGCAATGCCTTTTACCACTTTCTCCTTTTGAGCAAATGACAAATTTTCCCACTCATCCTTGAGGCATTTTCCCTCTAGTTTTCTCATGAGAATCCACTCAAATCCCAATTTGTTCCTTCTATTTGCATCCCAAGCAATTACTCTGGGGGCAGGAACCCCTAATTTTCGTGCAAACTTCATGGTTGCTGCTTCACTCAACGTTTCGGCACTCTCTTGCAAAGGATATCGAACGCTCAAATGATAAACCCTCTCTTTCTTCTCTTCCCAACCGTCTCTCCACTTCACCATCTGATAAACAATAACCTTATAAACTTTCTTGAATGCCGTTCGGCTTTCAAATGATACTATGCAAGGATTATCATCTCGTAACCCTAAGCGATCCAAAACGAGTGTGCGTATTCGCTCCATTTTTGGTTCAAATGGCCAGCGGGGGACCCCCCATAAGGATAAATCTCTGGTATAGGCGGAGAGAGTCATGACTTTTGATGCTGATTTAGGCAGTGGAATGGGCGATTGAGCTGGAACGGCATTGAGAGTCACGGTAGTGTTAATGGAAAGTTTTTGTATTTCACGCCTCTTGGGAAACCGAGGAACCAAGTCCAAATTCTGAATCGCCATGTTTTTGGCCGTGTCTTTTGTGAAGCAGCGTGAAATCTGCAAGTAATAATGAGCCTTGAGAGGCGAGTGATGATGTAAGACAGACAAAAAATTACAAATATACAATGGTAAAGAGAAAAACAAAATAAAATATAACCCTCAAAGAATGACTAAATTGAATCTTTGACTTCTAATTATCGAGATAGAGTTTCAGCGTGTATCTATATGTCAGGGCTCGCTTCTACTCAGCCTCACGTTGGTGTAGGTCTGGTGGGTCGGGACAGGGCAGTACAGTACATGCGCGCGCTTAAGGTCTTTTCATACCGACATTGAGGCTTCTGGAATCTTTGGGGTCGCATTTAAGCAGCGAGAAATATGAAACGTACCAAATTCACCGAAAACCTCGATGCTGAGACTCGAATCTTGAATAAACGGTTTGATGCGGGGTGGAATTGTGGGGTATGTGGGATCTCGCGAGAATCCATTGGAATCCTTTGGGTTTGAGATCGAATTGTGTTTTATTGATTCATTAGCGTATGTGAAGCTCTCGTTGAATTTTTTATATCCAAAATTATGCAAGTATTCTTATTTATCAATTCATTAAGCACAGTGAATGAGTCTCACGATGGGCAATCAATCTCTCCGCTATAAACAATCGCTAGAAATAAATAGGACTATCTTATGCCCATCAGGATGAGGCATGTAATAACAAACGGACTAAAGGTGTTCAACATAGACCTTAAGGGAGGTTTATTTAGCCTTTACACCTAAAAGCTTAGTCTAGTGACTGGGATGAATAGAATCAACTCTGTGAAGTTATGTTGACTAACGATTAGTATTTCACACCAACAACGTCAAGGCATGCTTCGATGGACTGCAGATGTGTAACACTACCATTGAACAGGTTCTAATCGGAACATCAAATTGAGAAACAAGACTAGATCAGCACAAGACAACGCCACATCAATTTTCGTTTCAATACAATCTTACATGAAGGACGGATCAATCCTCAGGTACCTATTCTCCAAGTACAAAAGCCAGATCTTGTGCCAGTTAGCTCAATTAACCCCATCAATTAACTGCTGATCCAGCAGCCGAAACAAAGCTCTTCTCCACCAGAATTCTTTCCTCGGGGTACTTGCGATACCTCTGACTCTCTAAATCTCTAGCTCTACTTGTAACAACTGAAGTTGGCCCTGATCCATCGTCATTCCAGGGTGACTTTTCGGAGAGAGGGCTTGACAGATTGTTGGATGTGGAGTCAGAAGAATGTTTTCGGAACAAAGAACTGGTTTTGCTACGGATAGAAAGTTTGGAACGCACGCTGCCGATCATAGAGCCAAGGCTACGGCCGCCGCGGAGAAGAGGTGCAAGACAGGGAAGGCAGGCAGTTATAGTACTGGCGTAGGCTTCGATGTGAGCCCAGAGGTAGACTTCTTCGTCAAGTTCTGATAGTGGTCAAATTAGAGCCGTAAGATGATGGGTCATGGCAGACTTACTAAGATCAGGTGTGCTGGTTCCGAATAGTTTCTGGGAATAGTAAAGTCGGACGCAAGATGAGATGAGACAGCTATAAGAATTTGGTATTAGCAAAGTGTAACCATATGTCCGGTATAAAATTGGATTCTCACAAAGCACCGAGAAGGAAAACACCGGACACATAAACTTTCTTTTCTGTCGGCATATGAAGGCCCTTGATCACAGGGAATGGAAGACTTAGAACTGCGATATCAAGGAAGATATCTACAGCTGCGCAGGCGATAACAAGATTCGGAACATCCAGAATAAACTGAGTGCCGATTAACTCGGGTGCTGTATTCCAATACGCTGCGACAGGATGAGCCGAAAAGAGGAAAAGCTCAATGGATTATTAGTGCTGGACTCCTAGTGGACAATATCGATACTCACAAAGAAAGACAAAATCATATACAGCGATATCATGCCCAATACGGTGTTGGCACAAATGATGAAGGTCCGACTAGTGAAGATTCGTTTATAGAAAACCACGACTGATATTTTGATGAGTCCATACACAAAATGACAAATCAAAGTATCCGCAAATTGGACTTCAAAGAACCGTTCGATATCTGGAAAGTTTAAGGTCGATAGACGAACTCCTCGGAGTCCAGTCGCAGCTGCATAGATGCATTCAACACATAACGCAATTGAGCATATCTAACTGAAGTTAATGGTACACCTAATGAGTCAATGGGGAAAGCAACATACCAAACAGAAAAGAATCAACCAATCATCAGCTTGTAAGGCCAGCTTACTTCTCTTCCTCGCATAGAACCGTAGGGAAACAATAATAGTTGCGAGGACAACAAGAATTACATTTGCGACGACGCCGCCGACGGCAACTTCTGGGATCGCCATAGTATGGAAGTTAACTATGATGGTTTTGATCTGGGAAAGATAATCACGTAGATGTGGGACTTTACTTCAAACGCAATATTTCTGGACTCAAGTGGGGATATTTTTACATATATGACCGGTTTATTATCCGTGACGCCGACAAGTGTTGTGCTACATACATATCATATGCTATTAATTGGAATCTTCCACCCTCTCGACGCGACGCATGGCTGGATAGTACAAAATCGTGAGGGGGGTAACAGTGGAAACGGCTGAGCTAGAAGACTCTTCAATGGAATGTATTCAGCACGCAGATGCAACAACTCGGACATTCTATTACATGACTTGGCAATTTGGTTTGCCAGCGCTCCAAGAAATGAGGAGCTGGGATGCTTAGATACACTACTTAGACACGAGGTTCTGGAATTCGTGGCTAAAGTGGTATTACATGAGCAATAGCCTTGGGTCTTGGTGGTCGTACATGTAAGTACTTAGCCCAACACGATTGAAACCTTTTCAATGTATCGCTGATTGTTCATGTTCATTGAAGATGTACATTTAAACTCCACAATCCTCCATCTTCATGTCTGATTCAAATCCTTTCCGTCTATCTCAAAATTTCTCATGCCACTCTTCCTCTCCAAGGAAATGCCATCCAATAATACCATTCCCTCTCTTTCGCGTGGAACAATAAGCACTTTCACGCTCATCTCGCAAACGAATCACTTTCTCTTGGAAACACACATATTCACTCATAAACATCCAATACTATCCCGTCCTTTCAACTGCCGTGGAACATTGCTACCTAGAATTTAACCCTCAATAAATCCAATTTGCACGACATATTGAGACACATTTTCCCTCTTCCATGTTTATCTGATCCCTCATTTCAATTTCTTTTTATTCAGGCCCTTGATTCTGGCTTGAGAATTAAGAACTCAATCAGATCATGGATACGGGAGGAAAGATGGCAAGTTTTGGCTTGAAGCCCTGATGAAAATTTGTGGAAAACAATTTAAGAACTTGATTGTTCCCGTCAAGCTGCTTACAGGATGGCACTTCCGGCGGGCTGGCTGATTAAGATGACGGGACTTCCGCTTCCTACCTTCTTCCAAGTCGGAGATTTTTGATGAACTCCGAGGGGAGTTTATCCCCCAACGCATAGTATACTTTTGGGTTGCTTTCTATGAAATTCGGCTTACGCCTCCTCTTGTTTCGTGAAGATGTATTGATGATATGATGGCAATGGATATTCCAGACCTACTTCGAATTTACAAAATTCCAAATCGTATGAGATTGATATCTACTTAAATGTGAAAGGAAAGAATTTCTCAAAACTTTCTATTGTTATACACGGCTTATATCATGGTCGCACATGTACAACATACCAAGACTCCAAGACGATAAGGAAGCGGTAAGTAGTTGTACGATTCCCTTCAACTCGTGCTAGAACTGCTTTCATGCAGGAAAAATGTCACAGATATTTCACATACAGTATCGGACTTTGAATTTGATGTACTTTCAAGTGGTCGTGCATTAAATTTGAAGACGCCTCTCTGTATACGTGACTTCTTTGTCTCGTACCGACACGAGCAATTTAGTCCTTCTTGCGGTACTGAGAGAGAAGATAAATAATTCATACTTCGAGTTAATATGCTGAATCTGTCTATATACCTAATCGTATGGTGAAGTGACGCACAAAACTATGTTCAAACTTCTTGGCACAATGTGGTTTCCTTTAATCACGAGAGGCTCTACTTACGCACCCGTCACCGCCGATCTTGAAGAAGAAGCAAAGCCGGGGCTTCAAGAGAGTTCTAAGAACAAACTGAACCTGAGATTGAATATTCTATTACTCTTCACTCTTTGTTTCGTATCCTGTGCACTAGGGTTTCTTGCTGCAAGATTCCTAGACACACGATCGATTGCTGCCCGTGTAGGACCTCAATGTACACACTCTTTCTCTGGATTCATGAGATTATTTTCGCGCTAATATCACATTATAAGTTGCTAAAGAACTGGGCAATTTCTCATACAATCGCAATTTCTCGTATCCACCATCTAATACCACAGATGCTGCTTGGAATGGATTGTTTATGACGAAAGGTGGTGGGGGGTTTTTCAATCATCCATATGTTGAAGGTGATAGAGCTACATTGAGCGTTTTGCATCAGTTGCACTGTTTGGTACGAAATCTGGTTCTTCGACTCCCTATCTTCAAAGTCTTTCCTCTCCATGAAGTTTTTATCTTATGATATCCCAATCATCGTCACTGACGGTGGTCTAGGATGGTATACGTCACATTTACTACCTCAATAATGACGCAGCGACAACAGGGAAAGTACTTGTCGAGGAAGAATTAGAACCTCATATGAGAAGAAGTCATGTGAGACATTGCATTGATTTCTTGAGGCAGAGTTTGATGTGTTGTGGGGACAGTAGTATTGAGAGGGTTAATTCTGAGTTGAAGGTTGGTTTATTTCTCTTTCGCTTAACGCATAATTTCTTTCGTTTTTGAGGAAAAGTTGATGTGTTTATGTTGTGGCTGTGGAATAGTCGTAGAAGCAGAAGCTAAGGCAAGATATGCATGAAGAAGAGAAAGAATACTTGCTAACGGGAATCATAAAGGGCGTAACCGGATGGGGTACTGAGCATATGTGTACGAATTGGGAAGAGCTGCAGGAATGGGTTGGAGAGAGACAGAGGTTGGATCGTGAGGGATGAAAGACGAAGATAGGTGCAATCAGGTGTGATGAGTCGAGAGTAAAGATAATCTTTGGAGAAACCGGAAGAAGATTGCCTGAATAGCTGAAATCTGTACGAAATTAGCATTTGTATGATGGTCGCATAGCTAAAAAGCGGACCTCATGTGATCTAAATTATTGTCTCAAGAGTCTAAAATCTATCATAAAATGTAAATATGACAGAATCTGAGTATTCAGGAGTCATTGGCTCATCATTGTCAAGCTAAATATTGACAATGGAAGTCCATATAGTAACAATTAGTTACAATATCAAACCATGCCACCGCAAATTTTGAACAATTAAGCCAAGGCGCGTCAATTCACAAGAATAATGTGTCTCAGAACCGTTAAACAAAGTTTAATTCTCTCATCCAAGAATCTTAGGTAATACCAAAAGCGTTAAAAGATGTCTATGTTTTATTGCCACTATCGTTTATCACACATCCGCAGCCCAAAGGCTCCGAACTCCATCCTGATTATGCACCTCCTTCCAATCTAGGATTCACAAGCGCAGCCATCTCTTCCTCGCCAACAACACGATCAGCGAGAGACTCTATTAGCGCGTTCCAATCCACGCATCGATGTTCTGTCGGTTTGACGTGCGGCTGTGGCTTGGACAGTTTTTCCCATCCGAAAGTTGTAAGGGTTGTGTCGCCTTGGCACATTACTGCACTGCGTAGAATATCGAAACAGTGATCTAACTATTGCGTCAAGATTGTCATCTTGATAATGAATGGAGAGAATGCTTACCTGCATGGATATCCCAATGTTCGATTGTTGGGTCTGTTATGTTGGGATAATAGTAATCCCTGTAGTTCCAGCGCCGAAGCATTTTCTGTCGATTTGTTAGTTGCTTAGCTGAAATAATCTTCCAGATGAAACTTGCAATGCAATGCAGTTGATGATGAGCTCCAATCCAGACCATATGCCCACCACCTTCTGGTAGAGATACCGATTTCTGATTCCTCTTCTCCAATTCTTCGGTTGTGACCCGTATATTTATGTCTTTCAATAGATCATGCCATGCTTGATCTACCGACTCGCTCGGGGGTCCAGCGTAAGGTGAAGATGGGAGATTGGGAGGAGCAACTGGTACATATTGAATCCTCACACCCGGCAAAGCTAGAATGAATGATTATGTTAGCACCTGGAGGCCATCGCGAAGTAATGAAGCATACGATGAACTGAGGTTGATATGGGACAAAGTGACCGATTTATAGCGATTATAAAAATGATGGTATATAACAACATCAGTAAAGAATGTAGGAAGACGAGTCGCAGAGTTAGCTTCGCATTATCTCGTCTACCCCCAAGTTTTTGATTTCCCGATCCTTCCTCATCCAATAAAAATGGTTTGCTTTCTGACGACATTGTACTGTGATCGTGGAAATGAAGCTATTTACTGAAGCTTGACACGACTGATCGCAGATATCTTTAATCTAAGCTAAGGACATTGCATATCGGCAACTCGAGCCCAGCATAATCAGATTGAACTGTGCAGTACCGTGGTATGGTTGCTGCATAGAGCACATCGTATGATCTTCGGGGTAACAAAAGGCTTCGATGCATTGCCAACATAGCCAAGAATGGTAATTTCGAGACCCAACACCCGATGACATCCCCGCAGACAATGTGTAGAATATTGATATCGGAAGATCCTCGTCTAACTCAGAACTTACGCGCAAGCAGCTGAACAATAATCTCCAATAAAATTAATACTGGCCTCCTTTTGAACACCGGTTAAATGCAAAACCGTCGAGATTTGCTGCGGCAAGTATAAATGTCCGGCATTTGTGCAACCAGAGTGAGATAAAGATGATGGGGAAACCGATAAGGCTTTTTCATATAGGGGAAAAGATGAAACCAGCTGGGGACTTTATCTTTTAACCAATAGTACAAGTAACCTCCTAGGGCAGAACACCGAAAATGGTATTCGGTACCTATGTATGTGGAAGGCGAAGCTTTTTGCTCCTTGTCATCATCCAATATTTTAGATCTTTTCGGAGGAATCGATTGAGAAATGGAGATAAGATGAAGTCCTCAAATCATTTAACTAAACTATAAAATGATCGACTAGACCTACCTACTTATCTGCATTCTCTCAGACATCAAATACATTACAAATCAATCGAACGAAATCTCCTCGAAGAAAAATGCGCGCTACCCTTTATCAAGTCATAGTCTTGTGCTTTGGATTTATGGTCATTGCTGCCCCTCTCAGCGATCCTAGTAAGAGACATAACGCACCTCACTGGCATATTACCCCGCTAATCATTGCTATAGACTTCCTTGAGACCAGATCAAGAGGTTTGTGAAAATAAATCTCAACTATGCAGCATACTTTTACTGAATCTCCTATTAGATGGTGATGAATTTGTGAGATGGCCTGACAACGCCATTGATGCAAACGGGCTTGCTGTTGCCGCCTACCAAGGGGACTGAAGAAGACAGGAGTTGTCTGACAAATCAGAGGCTGTTTTTGGAGTTGAGCGATAAGGAAAGGGGATGGAAAGTGGCTTGTGGAGGCTGTGTTGTTATAATTGTTTTTTTCAATGGCATCATTTTGGATGAGAAAGCGGGATCGAATGTTGAGCTTCTTCGGCACCTGGCGGCCAAGAAATTTTGATTAGGTAGCTTGAGAGAATGTAACCCAATCACTTATCGGAAATATGTCGCGCATTGTCCCACCCATCGTGGTAGTGAATAACGTGCCAATCGGAGCTACCCCTTTCTAATCCATGTTAAGGCGAGAGCCAATAGACGACATATCAAGCACGTGAAAACGGCGGATATCCTATCAGTTTGCTATCCGTTTCCGTTTGTCAAAGTTATAAATATGTAGTTACACAAATAAGATGCTTTGCACTTGTGGGAATTGCGAGCTATTCAGATATCTTCCAAAACAGAAAGAACAACTTCTCAAACAAGAAGCGCAGTGAGCACTATTAGCTATGGCCTCTTTACTTATCAAATTGCTGTTATTATTCTCAGTTATCTTCTGCTATCAGCTTTATACAAGATGGAAACTCGGAAAGAATACACCTGCAGGATGTCAACCACCTCCAAGCTTACCCACAGTTGATCCTTTTCTCGGTTTGGATCTGTTTAGGAAATCTCTCGAGATACGAAAACAGCATACCATCTTAGAAACTCACGCAAAGCAACATGATACCCACGGCAAGACGTTGCAAGCTTTACGTCTCGGGAGAACCATGTTATATACAGCCCACCCAGACAACCTGAAAGCAATGTATGGAACAAACTGGAAAGATTGGGGTACAGGTAGAGCTGATGCCATGGAGCCCTTCTGCGGAAGAGGATTTGTTACCAGAGATGGTGAAGAATGGCGAGATCATCGAGGTTTGTTTGCTTCAACCTTGACAGAAGCCAATGCTGTAAATTTGAAGCTCCTCAGCGATGTTTACGAACACTACATAGATCATAATTTGCCGTCAAATGAACAGACTGTTGATTTGGGACCAATCTTCAACAAAATGGTGAGTTACAGCCCAAAGACTAGTGTATAATGTCTAATCGACCATAGTTCCTGGATCTATCACTCCAATTTCTGTTCGGTAAGTGCCTAGCAGTATTATATTCAGGGGACTCGCCGGTGGATATGCATACCTTCGAGAAAGCATTTGATGCTGCACAAAGTTGGATGGGTATACGATTAGCATTTGGAAAATTTGGACGCAGTGTCTCCCTCCTCAGTAAGAATTGGAAAGAATCGTGCAGCATAGTACATTCATTCGTGGACCATCATATTGTCAAAGCACTAGAGAAGCCGGTCAACTTGAAGTCAGAAGAGCATGCTTCAAGTCTTCTCGAGAATTTGGTGTTACGGGGAAAGAATCTAGAAGAAATCCGCTCGCAAATTCTTCAAGGTATGCTAGTTACTCAAGATACAACGGGAATAGTATTGAGCAATACGATATTCCTACTTTCAAGATCACCTAAAATCTGGACGCGCCTCCGAGAGGATATTGCTGCTCTCGGTCCAGTCGAAGTTTGGAATCCAACAGTTTTAATGAATTTAAAACTTCTTCAAAATTGTATTAAAGAATGTAAGCTTGTTTGAGTTTATGGCTCTAAAGTCTCCTGCAAGAAAACAACTAATTGATCAAGCTCTACGCATCTATCCTCTATTTCACGCAAACAGCCGTATAGCTCTTGTCGACACAACACTTCCAACTGGCGGGGGACCTGATGGTAGAGCACCAATATTCATTCCAGCAGGCAGGAAAGTCAGTACAAACTTTTACACACTGCACCGAGAAAAATCGGTATTTGGAGATGACATCGAGATATTCAATCCCGACCGATGGAATCATATTTCCCCAAGTAATTGGGAATTCATGCCATTCAGCCACGGTCCGCGTAGCTGTGCTGGTCGACACAAAGCTCTAGGAGAGGCTTCATACATTATTGCCAGAATGGCAACTCAGTTTCAGCGAATTGAAAGTCGTGATGATAGACCATGGACCGAAGATGTGAAATTGGTGGTGAAAAATGGTAATGGTTGCCAAGTAGCGCTTTTTTCTGCTTTAGGAGTAGCTTCGTACTAGTTTACTGTGCCTCTTTTAACCCTAACTCCATTGCCGACATGCATTGATGGCGACACTTTTGATAATAATTTGTGGTTCATGTGACCAACCCCCGTGGAATTTGCAGTAGACGAAGCGAGAGTTCCTGCTAGTGCTTTGAATCGGAGCTCAGATCAACTGGTTCCAAGACACGAGAAGGCAACTATTAGATGTGAAAAATGAGCTCTTGTGTTTTGAACGCGAATTAGGATTGAAGTCAAGCTATTCCCAAGATCGATCTAAGGAGTGTGCTTGTGACGTTGCAAACACTACCAACTGTTGGAACTGTGTGGGGGCATAAAGATACAAAAAATATCCGAAACATCAATACGTGAATGATAGCATAAATCTTGACCGAAATATGAATGAAACTCTTATCAGCACGCCGAGCACCCTTCCTCTTGTCTTCAAATCACTCCCGGAAACATCCCATTCAGAATGATACTCCCAGTCTAAGATCTATTCCCAAGCCCAAGGATCAAACTCCTGGAGAATCAGTATTCCATGCGATGAGCTTGAAATTTTCTCTGAGCTTGAATTCTTCGATAACAAGAAAGTAGAAGAGTCAACATTCTTAACCATCAACCTAAATGGCGGTAAGTACAATCATCACATCCCCTCAAGAGCTTGTGCCGAAATAAGAATGACAGAGCTCCAACGATCATCGACTCAAACAACAAACTACCATTTAGGAGTCCACTGCAATGATTAAATACCTCATCGACGTCCACAAAGATGAAGGTAGAATGGCAATCTCTACCCTCCTCAAAGATATGAGTTAGACGAATGGCTTTTCTTCCAAGCATCAGGACAAGGCTCTTATTTCGGTCACGCTTTCGTGCGTATTCTCCCTCAGAGCTTTGAGACATGAAGAATTATTCTCGCATCACAACCAACTAACACCCGATCCAGCCACGCTGCAATTCACCTCCTCCGACCACTTCAAGAACCTCTCACCCAGCATCCCAGCATCCCAGGACACTCCATTACCTCACCTCAACCAACCACCTAACAAGCTTTCTGAACCCCTTTAGCGAACAAAAATCACTTAATTACTAGGAAATGACCCCATAAATGCAGATCTAACCTCCATACCTTAACATTAGGGTATAGCGAGCGGGCTGCGGGAGCGGGCTGGATCATCATTTTCGAAGAGAGCATCTCCCGATAACCTCACACCAACATAATTATACGTACTTGGTAGTAGTATTCAAACTCCACTGCACATTAACAAACCATTCTCCAAACTCCCCCCCAAAATAACAACTTTATCTTATATCACCTTGATGATGGTAAAAATCTTTCAGGCATACCTACTAGTTTTCAAAATTCAAATCCATGGAAAGAAATTCCTATAAAAAAATATAATTACTGTATATAGTATCACAAGTTCCGGCTTCATCACCATTTTCTCTATCAAGTATCAAGTTTCAAGCATCAACGAAATACTCCCTCCCCTCTAGCGACAAATTTGGCACTAAACCCCCTCAAGCAATAAATTCTCTCTACCTTTACCTTTCCTCTATCTCTACCTTTACCTTTACTTCTCCTCTCTACTTCTCCTCCCAAAATCAAATGAAAACAATAAACAGAATAAACACAATAAATATCTCACCCCTAAAATATCAATATCCCTTCGCTTCCCTTCTCTCCCCTTCCCATTCTTCTCTCCCCAGTTCCCCGCTTCTCTGCGGCACCATATAAAACTACATCACGTGAAACTCCCTCATTTCTTCAGAGTGGCAAAACCACACCACACCACACCACCTATCTTTTCCAGCCAAAAAAAAAAAAGAAATCATCGCAGAATGTAATTGTTGCATATCGCATTCAAATCAACACATGTTGCACATGCACATGCATTAGTGCTTACTTATATGTATTTTATTTGGTATATGATATTTGGAAATAGTATTGGTTCGGATAATCAAAAATGGGTGTTGTCTAACTTACTGTGGAGTTTGGTTTGTGTACAAGATGTGGAGGTATATCAACATTCGTGGTGAAATTGGATATCTGAATGATTCGGTTGTTGGAGAGTGAAATTCAAAGAATAGAGAGCTAGCGCTTTCAAAAGATTATAATCTATATCTAAACCCTCGGGTTTGAAGATCCGTAAGATCCCCACCCATGTTCCCCTCTCCCTCTGTTCCCTCACCCTGATCCTCAGACTCCAAGCCCCATTCCTCTCTATCTCTCCTCGCATTAATTCGCTTCAAATACACTCTCATACCCACTGCCATTCCCGCAGACAAAAAATAACATCCCAAACAAACCGCAAATCCTCTCCCAAACCCCATATCTCTCTCCTTACCACCAAAAATATGCGGGCCCAACATATTTCCCACACAATACGCCACAAACATACACGCACTCATTGTCATTTTTTTCGTTGTCCCTCTTGTATTCGCTCCTAGAAGACTCATTGTTAATGGGATAGTAGCGTAAGAGAAACCGATTAGGTAGAACCCCGTGAGTTTTAACGAATTCAGAGGAGCCCAATTCATGAGGCTTGCGCCGATAGTAGGGGGTAAAAGTAGAGTAGGGAGAAGGAGAGTCGTGGTATTGCGATAGCGGGACGCGAGATATCCAGATATCACGATTGTGAGAAAAGAAATTAGAGAAGATGGGAGGGAGATGAGAGTTGATTGAAGACCGGTAAATCCAAAGCTTGTTATGAGAATGTTTGCGAAACTGGTTGTTCCTCCATTCGGAATCTGGGGCTCGGTTAGTTCTGTTTTCGGGAATTGTACGAAGGCCGTAAGGTGGTTGATATACCATGGTGAATAGGGAAATGAAAACGCAAAACCAAGTTTTTGGATCAAGTAGACACTCGATAGCTTGTTCGCCTTTCCATTCATTTTTGATAGACATAGTAATTCCAGTCCCTGCTACACGAACTCTCTCCTCTGCATATTTCTTTTCCTCGGGGGTGAGAAACTTGGCTCTGGAGATAGTATCTGGTAGGAAAATGAGGACAATAAAGCCCCATATAGCTGTTGCTGATCCAAATATCTTACAATATGTCAAAACTGAATCTTAATCGCTTTATTCGGACAATACTTACAATATATAACAGCTTCCAAGGTTTCAATGAAGAATGAATCTGTCCGATTCCAAAAGAGAGCAAACTAGCAACGGCGCCGCCAAAAGAATTCCCCGCATACCTAGGAAATATCAGCACCCTCACTCTGGGATTCTACCTATCTCATTCAAAGACTACTTACCACAACCCCATACGACTAGGCATTTCATCTCTCGTATACCACACACTCGTAACATACAGAAATGCCGGACTTATACTTGATTCCACCATTCCCGTGAATAACCTCGCTACCATTAATCCCTGATAAGAGGTACAGGAGGCCGTACTTGCAACAATGATTCCCCAGATCACAATATCCGCTGCAATGTATTTTGCAACGGGGAGGGTTTGGATGAGATAGACGCCGGGGTATTCCCATAAAAGATAGCCAAAATAGAAGACACTGGAGATGGAACTGAACTGGCCGTTTACTAGATGCTTGTTGGGTGTCAGTAACGACTGGTAATCCGCAACTCACGACCCTCACAGTCAACATTCTTTCAGAAGAAGAGAATCTCGAATCTCCAAATTCACGTGCGAAATATACATACCGTATCCCCAACCAACCCAAACACAGCGGCAGTGCTCAAGACGCTTTTATCAATGTAATTGAAATTAAACGTTATAAACATCAATGGCATGAGTCTTAGATCTATCTTTCTAACCAGCCTTTTTGCGAAAGCTGTGTTCTCAGGAAAGGCGTCAGCCGAGTATGGTGAAGCTGTGGTCGTGTCATCGTTGGATTTGGTAGGATTGAGGTTATCGGAGATCTCATCTGAGCTATGTAGAAGATTAGTGATGCGTTTGAGGATATATGAGACCAATGTTGGCATCAAAAGAAAGGGAAATCGTAGTACAGTAACGGTGCATCTTCCGTCGACATCTCGACCATCCCTTATCATTATCTTCCCTTTGTTATCAAGAAATCCAGCGAAGAATCCAGCCCGCAACTATGAATTTCAGTACGGAAACAAATGCATCAAGAGAATGAAGAAATTCTATCACAAAAACCCGTCTGAATGAAATCTATAGTAACGTGTTCTATAATCGAAAGGAAGCTCTTTGAATCATGATTGTGATCCTGGTGACAATCCATGTCACGAGCATGATAAGGTTAACGATAGTCAGAGGATCTGTGGGTTATAACAGGGGGTTCATCAACACCAAGCTGAGATGTGAAGATGGCATCTCGAGACGTTTGGTGTATATTTCAGAGACATTTGTGTATATTTCGAGTTAAAATGAGGACGCCTGGATTATTTTGATAAATCGATCATGATTTTAATATTTGTGTATTGCGTGCCACAAGATATTGACTTTTCTTTTGGTGGGTGATATGAGAATGATATTGGCATTCGTGGGATATGACTTCATAATTCCAATCAACTTCCGCTCATCATATGGCAACACACAACATAGAATTTGGATACATTAGCCAGAGCCGCGTCGTACACGCCATCAGAAAACTGCGGATGTAACATTTCACCACCCCTTCCTAACCTTTTTTCTCCGTTCCAAACTCCTGATGAAGAAAAACATCAATTCCCCCCATCATCCTCAGACTCTGTTCAATGCTGGGCGATCTATTCTCCCCTGGTATCTGAACCCACCTTTTGCTTGATGTTTGAAGATGTGATCCAATGTTTGTGACGTCTTGGCCAAGAAGATTACGGAGATACGGAAGACGAGAAGCGGCGAGGAGTACAAGCATTGCGCCGGTCATTCTGGGCGGATGTTAGTAATGCGATTGAATGTGTAATGGTATGAGAGGTAGGATGAATGGGATGGGATTCGTTATATGAAGAAGAGGGGGGAGAAATACGACAAAGAACATATCCAAGTATCCATCATAACTGTATGTGCAAATCCTCGTAAATTAATTATGTGAAGTGAACAGGCATCTAAACAATTTCGACACTTTTCCAGTACGTTTTGTGCGACGCTTATGTCTTGAGAATGATTTGTGAAAACCCAAGTTAAGTAAGGTCGATAAATAACACTTCTACATGTCAAATATCTCTGTCTCAGAAATCCAGCGTGTTGACCTTGAGCAGGTTGTGTATCAACGACGAATTGTAAAGCTGGGGTTAGAAAATCTCGCCATTCTTCGAGTTGATGGTCCAATTCTTCTACAATGAAAGGGAATCGTGCGTCGTCAAGACTTGCTCCGGATTCCTTAGCATAGAGAAGGTTGTGAACGCGATTTAGAAGTCGACGCATTGAAATGCATGCTAGGGAATAAACTGATGAGTGTTCTTCGTCTACTTGTGAGTCGCGTGTATCGTAACTACCTGGAAGAGGTATAGTTGATTCAATTGATGCAAGTCCCGACTCGGGAAGACCAGATAACTCCGCAAGGTAGTCACTTGTATGTGTCAACTTCAACGATCACGAAGTAATATCTCAGACTTACCTCAAGAATATAACATGACCAGAAGATGCGCCTTAAGCATTCGACATCTTCGGCCGATTCGCCGGGTGAGTGGTAAGATAAAAGCAGTCGACATTTTGCAGCGGTTACATTAATGTATTCCCATGCTTGAAGTGGTCTCTGAGAAAACGCAAAGTATACCCTGAGTTTTACAGTTAAAATTATTCAAGTCCGAAGAGACGGATACTCACGCTGTGTAGAAGAGACATTGAACGGCAGTTGAACTTATTTCGGTATGTGGAATGTACAGTCTCTTCAGAACCTCATCGAAACAGATATCTGCCATTAGTTTACGTCCCTTGTAGTACTCATGCTCATCCAACGTCAAATCCCTCGGAACAGCAATATTAATGATCGATTGACTTGCGCATCCCAGTGACATCATCAATAAAGCCAATACAGATAAAGTTGTGGGTTGCTCCAGTTTTCGTAACAGAACACAATTTCTAAGTTGGCTTCTTTTATTGTTTGACATTGCGAGATACCAAAAGTTTATGTTTGCTTGAAAAGACTTAATGATGTGATCCAGCTCCGGGCTTCCGACATACGGATGCATAGTAGACGGCCTGCTAGTGATTGGCATAATTGCTTGTTCCAAGTGAAAGATGGAGGTGTAATTTTGTCTGATGGAAGGAAACACATTGAATAGCTGCCATGAAAGAATGGACTCGGTAGCCGAAGTATGAAAAGAAGATAAAACCGCATTGTGGACACTTTGTTTATCATGAAAGGATAGATGACGAGGTCTAGTTATCTGTTGTGGTACTGGCGATGAAATGTTTGCTCCTCCTGAGCATGCCGTTTGAGGCGAGCCTGAATTGTGACCATTGGCAACATGATGATTCATAAGGGCAGGCGAAGCAACCTAGAGACGAATAAGCAATGGAATTTCGCTTGCACTGACAGAGCGAAGGATCATATACTATCATTGCATTCATATCCTGTAGATATCTTTCGATACGGAGGACGCCCTCCAAAATCGAGTCATTCTTGCCTCGACTAGTATTTGATCGTGTTACATAAGGTATCATTCAAGATTGAAGCGGAGACTTACGGATCTACCTCAATTCCATACGAACAATCCTGATCCGTCGCTATGCATATAGCATATGGATTGTGCCCATCAAATCTACTATACCACTATTTAGTATGTGAGAACGCATTGAACGGATGATAATCACCTAATTTTTCTCAATCGGCAAACATCTCACTGTATGAGTGATCAACAACTTCTCACATGAGTATTGGCCGAGGTTCTTACTGCATGAGCTGCTTGTCGTCTTATCCGTGGGGCAGGATCTACGGCCGACATCACAACGCTCGCAGGGTATACCAGACGCTCTCAACTTTCAATAAAGATTTTCGAGAGATTCGGCATAAGTCTCTTGGAATTAGAATTACAAGATATGGGAACGCTTGCTCGGTCGACGCGTTTCCATTTTTTAAATTATTGGCAGATATTTCTCCTTCTCGAAGAAGCAAGGCTCGAATAGTCTACCGACGTAATTATGTAGAGTGTGGGAAAATGAACATGCGGTTGGAATCCAAATTTGGGGTCATGTAGGGTTGTGAATGATTACAGAATCTTTATATCAGTGAAATAACAGGCGGGAATTGACCACCAAGCCACCCTCGCGACCGACAGAAAAGAACCGAACACCAACCCTGCAAAAATAAACGAAATCTGAACATGAATCCTTTTCAAAATTTAATATTTATTTCATTCTAGATTTTAAATCTCTCTGAATTATTTGAAAGAAATTATTGATTGATAAAAGATGACCGTCTAAACTTTGAAAAAGATTGTATCAGACGATTGTTTATCAATCGAATTTTGATTAAGGTGTAGATTCTTGGTGTTGGGGTTTTTCTATCGGTCGCGAGCCATCATTCGAAAGACCTTGAACAATTCAGATCTCTTTTTGAAACTATATTGAATAAAAGAGATTCTAATTTTCACCATAAAGAAATCTCAAATTTTCATTGGATCACTTCAGATTCTGACGATTACTTGGAAATTGAATTAATCATCGAATAAACAAGTAATATCAAAACTAGCTCAAAAGGTCAATTTCCGTCTGTGTCTTCGCTTACATAGAGCACCGTGACATAGAGAGGATATATCATAATATTCTCATTGTGAATTAGCTGGTTGTTTAATATACTAGTGCATAGTTCAATCAATTGAATTTCGATATACTTTAATTTATTATATAATATAGTTACCCGTTTATAGGAATGAATAACAAAGCTATTTCGAAATGAACTATCTGGAAGATTGGGCAGAACATACAGGCTTAAAAATCACCAGGGCTGACTTTGAATTTCCCCATGCCTAATGGAAATAAGCACCCGCCACCGCCTTAGTCTTAGCCCACGCCTTATCCAACGCTTCAAGAATCTCCTTCGATAATGATCCTTTCTCCAGATCCACCAAATTTTCTCTTAAATGTTTCGCGCTGCTTGCTCCTATGATAATCTTGTCTCCTCTCTCCGCCTCAAGCCCGCTATGATGTACCAACCATCTCAATGCACATTCACTCTCCGTCAATCCCTCCTTTTTCACTGCTTCCCTGATGATATCCAAGGCGTCAAACATGGTATCATTCCAGTATCTCTGCCTATACATCTTACCCTGCATATGCGAATCATCGAAACGAGAAGTTGCTTCGACGGATTCCTGGTTGCGATGGTAGCGCGAAGTGAGGTAGCCGCCGGCGATAGGGTTGAAGGCATAGAAAGACATGTTGTATTTATGAAGACATGAAAGGAGCTCCGATTCGATGGAGCGCTGAATGGCATTGTATACACCTTGGTATACTGAAGGACGGACCCACTTTTTCGGTGTTAGTTTTGTATTTTCCTAAGATTGAGTGACGATTGAAGAGACTTACGTTGTTTTTGATGCAAATTTCTTGGATTTGTGCAACTTCCCAAGACATGTAATTACTAACACCCAACCTATTGAATTTTCCTTCCTTAAATAACACATCACACATGCCAAATGTCTCCTCATAGGAAACACTTCTGTCTGGTGCATGCAAATAAAAGAGGTCCACTTTTTCAACACCTAAAGCTTTCAAACTTCTGTCCAAGTGAAGTCTGAGATCATCCGCTGAATGCGTGATCTTGACTCCAGTCATGTTGTTAGGATAGAGTTTAGTAGCCATAATGATACCACGGTCGGTATATGGGGGTTGGAGTTGTCCCAGATATTCTTCTGATGAACCCATGCCGTAGACGCGGGCAGTATCTATTTCATTATGACCATGTGACTGAAAGAAGTCCATCATAGAAGAGACATCTTTAATATCGTGGACTCGGGTTTGCATGACACCTCCATATGTGTTAGTTCCAGGGCATTGCAATTCCGGGAGAAACGACTTACCAGGTTTCCCGAATGTCATTGCACCCAAGACAATGGGTATCTTAGTCTTCGCTTGAGTTTCTGCTCCCATGTTTGCTGTTGGTGCTAGTAACTTTGTGTAAATGTAAATATTTGCAGAATGGAGAATAAAGTCTCGCCAGAATGTATTGAATCGTATAATAAACGGATTTAGAAATCAATTCTTTATGAGTATTCTTGAATATGTAATATGAAAAAGGTTCAACTGGATCCAAACAGGTGTTCAACAAAGTCTTTATATATGCTTGCTCAACAATTGGTCAACAAATTAGGAGTTTATTATTTAATGGTATTTTGTCTCCCATCTGGCGATAACGGATTTTACGTGCAGCTTTAGTGGAGTTAAGATTTTCGGCCGATGAAAGACATCGACCGCTTTATCACCGAAAACATTATGAGTGTAACTCGAAAAATAACATTTCGATGATGTAAGCTAGCATCCGCCAAACGTTTCTCCTGCATCTAGAGCCACCAAGCTAAAGCATATATTGAAAATATGGATTCTCCCTGTCGGTTAGATCCTGAAATGCCATTTTGTCCCTACTCACTTGATCTAATCTGCAAGATATCAGTCAGCACGATGTGAATCAAATCAACATGAGAGGGCAGCATGATATATGGTGTATAATTTTGCAAAGTGGTGTATCATTACAATCCGGCTAGCGTAAGAATGCTCCGATATCGTAGAGTTGAGTGAAAGTGGTATGAACGTACTCCATTAATGCTCTCTTGCGGTTTTCTCTAGTCAGCACGGCATACAACGCCACTGCTGCTATAATTGTAATGCAATAACTATCTCGCATTAGTAACTTCACAATGTCTACTTATTTGATTTGCGGCCTACCTAATAATTAATCCTGACCAGAGTTCTGGATAATGTCTCGACTTCGTTTGTGAAATGATCAACTGAGGTCCCACGATATTACCAACACAGTATGCCACAAATATAGTCGCTGCCATGAAACACTTTTTTGTTTGACCTGCAACATTGGCCATACCAATCGTGATAATCAAGCTCACTACAGGACCAAAGAATCCAATTATAGTATACCCGACAACTGGAGTAGCTGCGTGATGATGCCAAGAACTTTTCCATATCATTGCACATCCAGCAATGACTGGCAGGCAACAAACAACGAGAAGGACAATTCGTATATTTGGAATATGCGACGAAAGATAACCAGTAAATAAGATGAAGATCAAACATATTGCTCCAAGAGGGAATTGGAACAGAATAGAATCTAGAGTTGAATACCCAAAAGTAGACACGATAAGAGGACCAAAACCACTGACTGCTCCATTGACAGTGTAAGCGGAAGCCATCATGATAGCGACGAGCCATACTTTGATATCAAGCAAAGATTCCTTGATCTGAAACCACTTGAACTTTGTACAACGAATTCCGGTTTGACCATATCTTAGGCGTTCCGTAGCAACCATACGCTCATTTTTCGTAAGAAACCAAGCTGAGACTGGAGAATCAGGTACGAAGAAACAACAAATTCCGAAGAGAAGGGTAAGAGACCCGGCAAGCAAATAAATATATTGCCATCTTTCAAGATCTCCACCATCGATTTGTCCGAATCCATAATTCAGTGCACCTCCAATAATGGTAAAAGCCCCAGTTGAGGAAAACCACCAACTCTGTCTCAAAGATTGTTCAGATTGTGTGTAAAAAGAACTGATTATACACATAAATCCAGTTGGAATAATGCTCTCGACAAAACCAAGGAAGAACCTTTGTGCATATAGACCGCGCCAGTTTGTCACAGCAGCTGTACACATGCAGATCAAGGCCCACAAGCATACCACGATCCCTATGATCCTACCCATATTAAACCTTTGCAACGCAAATGTCATTGGATATAAACCCGCCAACATGCCAAAGTAAAAAAGTGATGTTGCCCAACTAAGACGAGATGTATCTGTAGTATGAGGGTTCACATTGGTATTGGTGATGGATAGAGATAGATCAGTCGTCATGCCAAAGAGGACTGCGGATCCTAAGATTGCCTGAGAATTGTTAAGTTTGGAATTGATATAACTGAAAAGATTTGTATCCTACCTTATCATAATAAACAAGCCCATATCCAATGAACATAGCAGGGACCAAATATCGATCTATCTTTCGAACGACTCGAGCTTCTACCGCGGGGTCAATTTCATGACGATGCTCTCCCACTACAGCGATAGCAATATCTTTATCCTGGTCGGCAGATGGTAGAATAGGAGCATCTTGAAATCTTGAAGGCTCTGACTGTACCTGTTTCTCCTCCGCAGCTCCAGCTTGAATGGGAGAATTCATTGCGTGTAGACTGAATGGCATGTTGATGAAGCTTGAAAATATTTTGATACGTGGATGAATCGAGCCGAGTCTAACCTAAACTATCCCGAACCCTACATGACGGGATGGTCCGTAGTTTAGGATCCAATCTGGAATCATCATGACTTATGAAGAGAAGACCTTTAGTATGATATGCCAGAATTCAGTAGAAACTGAGTAATTGTTTTGAGCTTGATATAACTGAGGGTCTGAGGGTGACGAGTAATTACTTATTAATCGAACAACGAACCCACGATGTCGTATTGGTGATGTATCGAAGGAACTTCAATCGAGTACTGCATTCTGAATTACCATGTGGAAATGACAATGAAAGTTTCACTGCCAACTCATCGATTGGACCGTCAAGATCAATGAGAATAGGGATATAACAAATGCCAGGCGCCGAGATACTTCGATTGGTGTCATGATAAAAGCTTGAAATACCTACGAAGTATGCACCACTGATTTTTAGTTCTATCATAGCTTCAGGTCCAGGTAGTCCCGCTGTAGGTCCAGGCCTGACTGACTAGCCAGCCTTGCGGTATCGAGAAGAAAATAATTATTGTGTAACGTTGGAATGTCTTTGCTTTGTGTAATAACATTAGCCACACTAATTGAAAGACATGATTTCAATACGGCGAGCAGTTAACAAGACTGTGCCACCTGCATTAACAACAACTTCAACATTTCCCATAAGAAATAATACTATCATCCGATCATTGACGACGACAACCCCTCCAAATCCCTGCAGACAATGGCGTGAAAGAACAAAGCAACCTCGAACGAGAGCGAATCTCCGACACTTTTCCAATTCAACCAATGTCTCCCCAGCCCTCACTCTACACAACCAAACTGTCGAGAAGATATCCGCGAATGTACGACAATTCTACGATCGAAAAGAAAAATTCCGCATCAATCATGGTTCTACGAATAGCACACGAAATAATACCAAAGGCAAAAACATAATCAATATTGGCGGGTTATCGCATGTACTGGAAGTCAATCCTACAAGCCAGACAGCATGGGTAGAACCAAATGTGCCAATGGATAGATTGGTAGAGGAGACATTAAAATATGGACTTGTGCCGCCGGTGGTTATGGAATTTCCGGGGATTACTGCTGGAGGAGGATATGCAGGGACATCGGGTGAAAGCGGTTCGTTTCGACATGGTTTCTTCAATGAGACGATCAACCGGGTTGAGATGATTTTGGCAGATGGTCAGGTTATCCAATGTTCGAGGACTGAGAAGCCTGACTTATTTCATGGCGCGGCTGGAGCTGTCGGAAGTATGGGAGTCACGACGTTGGTAGAATTGCAGTTACACAAGGCGAGGAAATATGTTGAGACTACATACCATCCGGTATCTGATATGCCAGATGCGATTAAGAAGGTCGAAGAGATGACCGCAGATCCAACTATTGATTATGTGGATGGAATTATGTTTTCGAAAAAGAAGGGTGCTATTATTACTGGTCGTTTGACAGATACCCCAACGGAGAATACTCCAGTACAACGATTCAGTAGTGCTTCGGATCCTTGGTTCTACATGCATGTAGAATCTAATATCGACAACAGCCAATCCTCCCCCAGATTCGCCATACCCCTCGCAGAATACTTCTTTCGATATGACCGTGGAGCATTCTGGGTCGGTGCTTCGGCCTTCAAATACTTCTCATTCCCATTCAACAAATTCACACGTTGGTTCCTTGATGACTTTTTACATACACGTATGCTTTATACTGCACTTCACACCGCCGGAATGCCTCCTGGGTACATCGTTCAAGATCTCGCACTACCATATTCTACCGCCACAGACTTTGTAGACTACACCGACAAATATTTCGGTATCTATCCCTTATGGCTCTGTCCCCTAAAGCAAAGCCCCATGCCAACCATGCATCCCCACTCCGCTTCCTACGAAGCCGACGGGAAAACTCTCAAGCCGCTTATGAACATCGGTCTCTGGGGCTACGGAAAAGAAAAAGATTTAGTGAAAGCCAACATCAGTCTTGAGAAAAAACTCAAAGAGCTCGGGGGTATGAAATGGTTATACGCACAAACCTACTACAACGAAGAACAATTTTGGGAAATGTACGATCGCAAATGGTATGATGGATTGAGGGAGAAATATGGAGCTACCACCTTACCAAGTGTTTATGAGAAAGTCAAAGCAGCTCCAAAAACAGAGGTGGCGAAGACGCTGAGCATGCCGGAAAAGATACTGAAAGCATGGCCTATTAGTGGTTTCCATGGGATTTATAAGGCGATTCAAAGTAAAACTTATTTAGCAGCAAGGGCTTCGGCATGGAAAACTCTTGATGTGGCAGCGACTAAAGAGAAGGAATCTCGTTAATCGCCATATGGGCCTCGGGCCAACAGCCAATGTGTCTCGTTGCAACAAAAGAGTATTTGCTCTCAGGGCCCATCAGAGACTGTATATACATAGGTTACCACATTTTAGCAGGATAGACGATGTACAATATAGCATGTATAGAATTACATAGGTAAAATCTTGAAGGTCATCTAGATTAAAAATAGAGCTGGGATATTTCATCGCGTGTGCATGCGCATATACAGCGGATTGTATACTTAGACATCTCCAATCTCAGTACGCAGTCAAAGGCGAAGAGAACTCTGAATAAGAGGACTAGATTGGCATCATCTCAAACGTCAATTGGGTTATGTCCTCTACAAACTTTCCGCATTGCACTGTTTTCTCACAACCACATCCATCCCGCAAAATCAATCACAAAACATCACCCCTCATCCCCCACCTCCCTTAAAGATCACCACCGGCTTTCCTAATTTCCTCCAAAGAACCTTACAAGCATCCATACTCGTAATAACATAGATTGACGCATTCCAGAATCCCTGCAGCGGCAACACAAACACCGAAACATATTGCAGAGACATATTAACCATGCCCGGATACAAAATGGAATAGATGCGATTAGCAGTTGATGGAATCCACGTGATCATCATAGCGAGGAAGAATAGTAGCGAGACTTTTGCATAGGCCCACATAGCCGCGTTAGCTTGTTTATTGGGATGCATACTTGCATATGATGGTTGAGCGGGGGGTAAACCAGGTCTGGAGGCTTTATCAGACGGGTGTTCTTCGACGGAATTGGTAGTAGGGAGAAGTTCGGTTTGTGAACTTCTAGACTTTTCTCTACGTGCTTTGGGTAGGTTGTCAGGTGATATGCGTTTATTTGCTCTCGCGAGTTCTTGTCGCTTGTCGAAGATTTTTTTTCCCGCAAAGGTGTAGATCATGATTGTGATTAAGATGGTGATCCTTTGAATACCGAGTCAACCAAGAAGTCCACGATGATGAATAGTGCAGATGCAGACATACCAAACCGGTACGTAGAAACTCCAGAGTCTCCACCAATCCCATTTTGTCTTGATCCAGCACCACGATACTGCACTTCCATATATGGAGCCGCGATTCTTTGTATGCACGAAGAGAAATACAAAGGCGGGAATGAATGGCAGACCGTAACATAGGAGTATGTACCACTTTTCTAATTGGTGGAGCTCTACTACATCGAAGTGGAAGAAAAATGCGCACATGACGTTACATGCCATGGCTAATGTCCAATATGCATCAGCGGGGAGGAACCTTCTATCCGTTAGAAACAAAGTCGATTCACTGCCCTATGAGGATTTGGAGAAAGTAAAATTACATCTGGATCAGAAAAGCCTGGAATTGACAAAACCGACCATCTGGATGCGCAAGCGCCGAGCGAGAAATGAGTGTCGCGAGATTCGTGAAAATATTCCCCAGAGACGCGTAAAATACTAGTCGATTAATGGGTTTACGAAATGCGGTGGTGGTGAGGAAGGTGATGATTATGAAGAAACAACCCAGGAGGGATATTCCGGAACATGTTCGTTCGATGGCGACGATGTTGGAGAATTCGTGGTCGGTGATGTTTTCTGCGGATTTCATTTTATGGATAGGTTAATTGGGTGGTGGAATCGGGAGGGGATTGATGGGTGGTGTAGATGAGGTAGCAGTAGCGGAAAAAGAGAATAGCGATGCTTAGGTATAGGGCGAATTTGCAATCTATGGATAGGAGAAGAAGAGGTTCTTGGGGATTCATAGGTATGGAATAATTATATATTGCTAAACAATCTGGGCGTTAAAATGAAGTCGTAGATCTATGTCGTGAGTACATGATTCCACGTCAACACTCTCGGTATTCATGAACGTGGAAAGCACTTTGCGAAGAACTTACCAGATACACTGCATAGCAGTTTCCTCACACATGAGATGTGTGATCCGGTATTGAAGAATCGTACGACATGGCTATATGACGACAATCAGAGCCAGACAAAGATAATTGGAATAATTTGGGAAGGAAATAATGAGAGACTAGATGAACATGGTAAATAGTGAGAGAGTTCATTGAGATCCCTCTACTTTTTGACATTTACAATCGATAAAAAGGGAAGGAACTCTGGGCTCCGCGACGTGAGAGAATTGAGACAGGTGAATATTGACAACTAAAATCACTCCGACTCTAGGGATTCTCCTTGTCAATCCAACGATACCTTAAGACCTCGTAGAATCGTTTCTTTAGAGTCTAGGTAACCTTCCAATGGCGGATTACATGCCTGAAAACCAGTCCATCAAATACCCTGTAAGAGTATTCTGAAATTAATTTCATAACAATCTCCTTTCGAATCCTGGGACCCTGGACCTTTTCAACAATATGGCCATATAAAATCGCTTGATGTTGAAGTGGTTAGAATGACGGCGCTAGATTTACCTTGTTCAGATCCTTTCACCTAACCGACTTTCGCTAATCTGGGGTGCCTAGTACTGATTTGGGCTGAGAGGCACTTAAAGACCTGACTCTTATCTTTCGAGACCTGGAGTATCTCTAGGATATGTTTTTCATGAGCGATAGACTAGGTAGAAGATATTCCCAACATTACAAAAGTAATGGGAGTATCCGATTCTAGCGACATTTCTTTCGTTTCATACACTTATCATTTCATCGTCGAACATATTTACGTTACGAGAGCTTGCAATTACGTCATCACGCAAAATTCGAAATCTTCCTTTTCTTCAACTATTGAATTATTAATCATGCCAATTTCACAGTCTTCACAAGATATTGTCAAAGCAGAAACCTTGGCCAGAAAGATAAGACGCACAGAAAGGGATGTTTTACCATACGAACTTAATGCTGAAAGGCAAGAGAAAATAGACTGGTTATCTTATAGAATCGGTGAAAAATTGTGTTCTCATTCTGAATCTTCTAAGTACTTTAGTCTTCGCGGTACGGAAGAAATAAGTTTGATATTGATTGCAACTCGGGACGACGACGAATTCAACACAATTTGGGAACTCTTCAAATCCACTATCGGAAGTCACGGTTATACACCTATTACACTCAGGATGAAGCTCAAGCATACACCAGAACTCCGTAATCAGTCATACGGATTTGAGGCTGCCATGAAACATTTTTCTACACAAATCCAAAGTATGCTAAGCGAAAATGAACAGTCTATTGAGCACTTTGCTAAATCCCGTATACTTCATTCAGTTTATATAGGGGCTATCGGGGGTTACATCGAACGTCGAGTGTAGGTTGACAGATGCTTTAGAGCGGTAGAGTATAATGTCGCCGTATACTCCAACGCCTTGAACCCGCGTTCCTCTCGCACAATCTCGAACATCTCAAGCGGTGTTACGGTTCCCAGTCGTTTTTCAATACAGAAGAGAGTTTCGAAAACTTCAGGCATCGTGAATTTAAGGATTTAGACTGGTATAAGGTTGTGCTTGATAACAGTAAAACGAGACACAGGATTTTGAAGGACTGTACTACCTCGATATTGAATCTCATTCACATGAGCTGTTCAGATTTGGCAACAGAAGCAGGTGGGATAGACTTGATTCAACAAACGAATCTGCAATTTATGAAGCCTGTAGTGGAGGCGATCCCAGTTTAATTGATCACACAGCAGATGAGTTCAGCTCAGCTACATTGAGCTCGACTACAACCAAACCAGAATCATCCTAAGCGGCCGCACCAAACTCAAAGCAACCCATGCTAAAAATATCCAACTCGGCTACATCCACACCAGACAAACCCAAATTAGTTACACATAAATCAGATAGATCAAAAATAGCCCATAAGTAGTAGATGAATCCACATCAGATAAAACCCGGTCTATTACACATGGATAAAATATACCCAAAGCAGCTCCATCAAAATCAGCTAGACCCGGCCCAGAAGAAATCAAAGCTGCTACATCAAAATAGATAAATCTCTCTGTAAACTTACTACCAGACCACGTAAGGACTACCGCTGACTCGAAGAAACCTAAACCCAGAACCCCAAATCAGCTATATTCAAGACAATCGAAGCCAAGCCAAACAGTTCTGAATAAAGAGATCAAAGAAACAACTACTTGAGGCAAGAACGGGAGTGGAAGGAGAGAAGTATTCATGCCCGGCGTTTATGGTAATAAGCTCTGCTTTTTCACAGTGAGATTGGTCTGTCTCATGTATTACGGAACGCTTCAAATTATATGAATGTGTTTTGAAAATAGAAATAGAAATTTATTTATCATACATCGTGATGTTTTATAAGATTAATATAATCCCTATAAAATTTATGTTTTCTCAGATAAACTAAGATATAAGATTAACATGGTTTATCACCGAGTAGATCATATTACCAAGCGAATCACCTTTCCCTTTCAACATATATTTTATCAATAAATTTTAAAATACAATCAAATAATAAAGAAGCTTAAATACTCTTAATTATTAAAGCTATTTAAAAAGACAAAAAACTTAGTATTCGAAAGGCTATCAAGCTATATAATTTATCATATATATTACTCAATTATAAAAGGAATTATTTTACTCTTCATATTAGAACTCAAACGAATTCTTATAATCTTATAGAATTAAAAGAAATAATTATCATTCAATATATTCTTGATATGAATTTGAAAGATTTTTTATTTAAACTTAAAAATATAAAAGATATAATGAGTTGAATTCTTAAATCGAAAAATAAAAAGTATATCAGGAAACTTTAAATATATTAATTTTTAAAATATTAAATCAAATTAAAAACACATTTTAATTATATTTATAACTTTTGAAGAACCCTTGATAAAGATCCTAAACTTATTACAAAATAGTTTCAATTAATTACAAATAACAAATACTTTGTCAACAATCATCTAGTCATCGGTTAATCTTTAAAAAAAAGAAATCATTCAACTACTGAAACGATCACGAATCAACTACATCTAAGGGCCTCACAGGAGGCTCCCCTATGCCGCTAGTGATGCGCGCCCCCGGCGCGCCGAGCGGCTCCCCAACCCAAGAGGTGATCCCCCCTCAATCAAGTACCATTACCCCAGGGGCAAGCATTGCCCCTCCACCAATTATAAGATCGCTCACAGGCTCTGCCCTTGGCGTAATTAAGGATCGATTCGAAAGGATCGATAAGACAGAACGGGAGAAGCGAGAGGTGATCGAGGCGTTCGCAGCACTAGCGGATAAGCTTGCACAAGGCTTCCAGGGTCAACAACATAGACTCGCAGTGAATATTAAAGGGACGATCATCTCCACACTGCTGGGAGCAGCAAAGGCTACTTCTGATCAATGGATAGGGCTCACAACAGAGCATTCACGAACAGAAAGCAATAAGCAGAAGACCTACACTGATGCACTGAAAACTCGGATAGTGCCTGAGGCAGAAAGCCCCACTAAGGCCCCCACCAACACAGAACGCCCTGCTCCTATTGGAGGAGCGAACACTGAGCGTATAGAAGCACGCAGACTCAAGAGGGAGAATGACCGGATCGAGAAAACGATCCTTATAATAGCTAATGGGGAAGCTCTGCTCTCAGAGACAAATCCCTTCCTACTAAGACTCAGAATAAAAGAGGCAGTTACTGGACTCACATTAGCAGAGATCCCCTTCCTTCAAAGGAATAATACGGGCTGGACTCTACGATGCAGCTCTAGCGCCAGCCGGGAGAAGATCATGAAAGCAGATAACTCTGAGCGGGTGCTTAAGACCCTCCATGCAACAAGCATGCGCAGACTAGAGAAGTGGTTCATGTATGCAGTCCCACAAGTACCTCACGATTTTTATCACATCGAAGGAGCTCCTGCTCCTATGCCTACTGAGCTTATCAAAGAAGAGATCACAGCTCAGACCGGCAAGCAGCCGGTCAACTACCGACTGGCACGTAGCGGGGTTAACCCGATCACTAAAAGAGCCACCTGGATCATTGGCTTCAATACTGCAGTATCGCGGTTCCGACTATTCAATAGTAGCTCCTACTCGGTTCTCCTAGACAAACCCCGGGAAATTCAACTTCACAGTACTGGCTGCCTAGGGTACTGCAACCCCTTCACCTGCAACAGAGCCTCACGATGCTCGACATGCGGTAAACTAAACACTGAGCACGAGGGTGCACTCGTACACCAACAATGTACTAGAGCAGCTCAATGCGCCAACTGCCACGGACCCTTCCGCGCTGGCCACTCCAACTGCCCAGCTGCCCCTAGGGTCTATGCTAAGCGACGGATCGTTCTGACCGCAAAGGAACTGGCCGCAGTCAGAGCTGTCGGCAGAAAAGACTACGAGACGCTGCACAGAGCAGATATAGACGAGGCAGAACATACCTCTGAATCACCTCTGTCTCCTATCGTAACAACCGCAGAAACCCCGATCACTTCGGGGGCGAGGATCATAGCATATGAGAATGAGCGCCTCAGCAAGCGCCCACGCAGGCTCAGTACAAGTCTGCCGATCGCACCAACCGGATTACGCACACGCTCAGCTCGTAACCAGAGCCAACGGAATCTCAATATAGAAGCGCTAGCAGAGAAAGCCTTCACTCCAATAGACCTGGAGATGATCGATACAGAAAACTCTATAACAGTTGCCACTGCACCTAGACCCTCTCTATGAGTGATGCAATCAATGGGTACACTCAAAGAAACAAAGGCCTCACTATCGCTTGGGCGAACGCAGGCCGGGGACACGCGAATCATATCACACTACTACAATTAGCAGCGGAGGCTCAATTAGATGTGATCTGTATACAGGAGCCAAGACTATACTGGAATTCAACAACACAAAATCACAACGCATACGATCGATATCAGCCGACCGACAACTGGAACCTCCGAGGAGACTTGGAGGAGAACGAGCAAGGCCCTAGGGTCATGACATATATACGAAAAAGCGCGAACCTGAAAGTAGAGCAAATGAGTCGACTCGGAAACAGAGACCTACTCTGGATACGAGTCAATGGATACTCGATCCTGAATGTCTATAGAGCTCCGTGCACTTTGGATATTATTAATTACATTACACACCTGGTTCCAAATGAGCGTACAGTCGTAGGAGGGGACTTTAATGCAAAGCACGATCTGTGGGAACCGGGGGTGATCACAGCCAACCAGGGGGCACAGCTCGCAACATGGGCAGACGAGCAGGGCATGGAGTTTATAGGTACTCCAGGCATACCCACTCACGCAAGAGGGCACGTGATAGACCTGACCTTCTCCAACATACCGTTCGCTTATACAGAGGTACTGGAAGAACTCCATTGTGGATCTGATCATGCTACCCAGGTCACTACTCTGACGAATCGTGGAACAACAGAGTGGGATCAGTATCGCTATCGGATAAAGGAAGTGGATCTGCCTAGATTAGATGGACTAATGGCCAACCAGCTAGCTCACCTCAATGATGTAGACATTCAGACTACAACTGAGATTGAAACCCACGTCAGTGAGCTGGCGAATGCGTTAGAAAAAGCGATCCGAGCAATCGGCAAGATTGATCGGAAGGTAGGAAAAGCCTCGCCGTGGTGGACGGACGAGTGCAGAGAAGCCCACCGAGCACACATAGAAGCACGGAGGGGATCAGACCCGGAAAGGAAGACTAATGCTACTCATCTCTTACAAAAGGTAGTGCGACAAGCCAAGAGATCCTACTGGGCAATGCGTCTCGACGGAGTCAAAGACGACAAAGAACTCTATCAGGTTATGGGATGGCACAAATTAACCCCCGAAAGTAATGCGAAATCCTCCTCCCTAATAATCGGCGAGCGGGTGATCTGCGATACAAAAGAGAAGGCAGATGCTTTATTCACAGCGGTTCTGGATCGTTTCAGGGCAGACGACGACCTACCAAACGATCCGCTGCTCAATCAAGCACACAAAGGGATACTCCCCTGGAAAAGAACGATCTCTGCAGAAGAAGTGGAAAAACATGTTATAGGAGCTACTTGCACTGCGCCTGGAGTGGATCGAGCCACTGTGCGCATCCTCAAGGCATGCTGGCCGAGCGTCAAATCACTGATCCGGGAGATATTTGCATCTTGCCTAGCTCTAAACTACTATCCAGAAGGTTGGAAGCTAGCGGAAGTAGTAATGATCCCTAAGGTGGGCAAGAAAGACAAAACGTCACCGCGGTCGTGGCGACCGATAGCCCTGATCTCCTGTATCGGTAAGGGGCTCGAACGGTATATAGCTAGTCAAATATCCTGGACAGCCCTGAGACACAAGGTAATCAGCCCGCAGCACTGCGGAGCGCTCCCCAGAAGATCAGGTACTGATCTAACGGCGGCTTTCACTCACGATGCGGAGCTTTCATTAGCAACGGGTAATGTGGTCTCGATTGTTACAATGGATGTTCAAGGAGCTTTTGACGCTCTCCTAAAGCGCCGACTCCTGAGCCGAATGATCAAGCAAGGATGGCCAACTCCGCTGCTCAAACTAATAGACTCGTTCCTTACAAATAGGAAAGTCAGAGTAAGACTCGAAGGCATCACAACAGAGGAATACCCAGTAGCATGTGGTACTCCTCAGGGGTCCCCCCTATCACCTATACTCTATATGCTATATCTCGCTGAGCTCCTCAACCGAGATACCAAATATCGCTTTGGCTACGCTGACGATATTGCGATCTATCACTCCTCCAAGCATCTCTCCACGAATGCCAGGATCCTTCAACGACGCGTTCGACAGATCATC